TTCTTTCTTCTCAGCCTCTTCACTTTTATAACCAAGAGAAGTACACATAGTTTTGTTCCCATATTAGTTATTTATCGATAAGAGAAAGTAAGTAAAGGTTAGCATTGGTAGTCATGTCCTATGAACGTCAGAAACACCAATCATCACCACCACCAGCCTATGGTGAGGAGGCACCAGGTGGTATGGAAAATGAATTGTATATTGATGGTACATTGTATGTTGATGGAGTACCAATTAGTCAAAGTGAACAACAAAAACAATTGGCAAGGCAAAAGCAACTTCAACAAAATCAATGTAAAAAGTTTTTACTATTAATTCGAAGTAATTGTTTTTAGTTCACTTCTGTTTTGTTTTAATATAATAGAATATTATTTATGATTTAATAGAATTTTGGGCAACACAACAAACAGAAAGAATTGATCGTAAAAAACATAAGAATAGATATGTTCGAACAACTATTCGTGAACTTTTAGTTTATTTGGTTTTTCTAACAGTTTTATCGATCGGTAAAAGAAAATTTCACATCGAAGTTTTTTTGTTTTGATCGGTTTGTTTTTTCTAGTCGTATACGGTATGGTAAGCGCTAATATGTTGACATTGACTCAAGCATTACAAAGTGTATTTGTTGATCCACAATTAACTGATGAATCAAATAATAAAACAGGCCCATCATTTGAAGATCTTGATAGTATGGAAGATTTTTGGCAGGTAAAAATAGATAAAAAATATCCGTTTTTCTATAAATTATTTTTTCAAAATAGTATATGAGTGAAGTTGCTGCTCCTGGTTTTTTTACTGAACAATGGTACAATGAAAAGAATATCAGTGATTATGGTTATATATTACATGAAAATCGTTTGTTAGGTGCTGTTCAAATGCGTCAAAAAAAAGTTCGAAATAATTCTTGTCTTGTGGCTGATGATTTTAAAGAAGAAATAAAATTTTGTTACAATTCTTATGCACCTATCTATGAAGATAAAGTAACATTTGGACCATGTGAAAATTTGGAACCTGAAAGTTGTCCTCATGAAGCGTAAAATTTTATTTTATTTTATAGAAATAATAAAAAAAATAATTATTATTATATTTAGATTTAAATATACCCCATCAATGTCATGGTTTGGATTAAGTACAACAGGACAAGTTAGTATTTATGATCAAGGTGGTTATATTAAAACATTTAATTCAACACAAGATCAATTTACGAAAGATATTGAAGAATTAAAAGATGGGTAAGATAATAGATTTTCTTTTTTTTTTGGTTTTTATTTTCATATATATTTTCTTCTTTATAATGATTTAGTCTTTGGATTACACGTGGTACTCGAGCAGTTTTAGTAGATTTTACAGTTTATAATGCTAATTTGAATTTATTTTGTCAAGTAGAGTAAGTTAAAAATTAGATATTCTATTTAAATGTTAATAAATATAAATATGATTAATTATTATTCTAGACTTATTTTTGAATTTCCAGCTGTTGGTGGTTTAATAACATCATCAATATTTCGTGCTGTTAAATTAATTCGTTATGTTCATACATTTGATTATTTTGTCTTAGGTTGTGAAATACTTTTTATTTTGTTTATCATTTATTATACGATTGAAGAAATTTTAGAAGTAAGATTTTTTTTTCGTATTAAATTTTTAGTTTTTTGTTTTTCAAAAAAACAAAAAATTTTTTTTTTCTTGTTATTTTTAAAGATTCGTAATTTAAGAATCATATATTTTAAATCAATTATGAATTGTTTGGATATTGTAATTATTCTTTTAGCTTACGTTTGTATTGCATTTAATGTTTATCGACAAGTACAAGTTGATTCATTACTTGATACATTATTAGAAAATCAAATAGGTAAATATAATGATTTTACATTTTTATGTTATTGGCAATATCAATTTAATATTATTATAAGTATAACTATTTTCTTGGCTTGGATTAAAGTTTTTAAATATATAAGTTTTAATAAAACAATGACACAATTAAGTGAAACATTAGCAAAATGTGCACGTGATATATCTGGTTTTGCTATTATGTTTTTTATTATTTTTTTTGCATATGCCCAACTTGGTTACTTAACATTTGGTATTCAAGTTGAAAGTTTTCGAGCATTTCAATATTCGGTGTAAGTTAATTGAAAAATCAATTGATCGATATATATCTTACATGTGATTGTTTTAGTTATACATTATTTTTAATTATTTTGGGTATTTTTGATTTTCAATCACTTCAACAAGCTCATCGTGTACTTGGTAAGATTAAAGATTATCTATTTTTTAATATATATATATATATATTTTTTTTTCTTTAATTAGGACCATTATTCTTTTTAACATATGTATTTTTTGTATTTTTCGTTTTATTAAATATGTTTTTGGCTATAATTAATGATACATATGTTGAAGTTAAAAAAGAATTACGAAATAAGAAAAATGAATTTGAATTAAGTGATTTTGTCAAACGAGGTTATGCTAAAATGCGTGAACGTTTAACAGTTAAACGTGATCGTATAGCTGATATTCGTAAAGCATTAGCATTAGCTGATCTTAATCGTGATAAACGTTTAGAATTTGATGAATGGCGTATAGAAATGAAATCACGTGGTTATGCTGAAGAAGAAATTGAATCAATATTTGCTAAATATGACTTTAATGGTGATAGAGTTTTAGATGAAAATGAACAACGTGCATTAAGTAATGATTTATTAAGACAAAATGATGCTATTCTTAGAGAAATCGATGAATTAAATATGTCAAAAAATAAGTAAGATGAAAAAAAAAACCAATTGAATTAAATTAGAATCGTTTTTTTTAACCCGTTTAGTATAGCAATAGATGATGGAAATGATGATAAAGATGACAAAAGAAAAGCAAGTACAGTATCAACAAAACGTTTACAACCACATGAGGTATCAATTGAAGAATATAATGATTTATCTAAACGACTTGATTCAATGGAAGCATCAGTTGGATTTGTTTTAAATAAAGTATAAAAATAAAATTAAAAAATTTCAATTCGTTTTTAAGAATTAAATTTAATTTAGATTGATAATGTAGCGTCAAAACTTGATACATACGAAAAAACAAAAGTAAATACGGAAAAAAATACGAAAACAAATCGTTCATTAGATGCAAAACATGTATAAGAATATTTGATTTAGTTTTTCTTTTCGTAAATTTTGTATTTTAATTTTAATTAGATAACAACTGATCGAACGGAAAATGATTCATTTGGTGATCCAATACATTCAATCAATAATTTTAATTTTGATTCTGTAAGTTTTCAAAAATGATTAAGAAAATTATACTTTTTCGTATTATTATTATTATTGTAGAATCAATCAACTATATAACAAAAAAATTTGATAATTTATTCATATTAATAAGTCATTAAAAAAAGTTTGTCGCCGCTTTTTGTGTGTCTAGTCATTGTGCATCTGTCCACATGATATTCTTTTTAAATGGAGGGGAAAAAATATATATATTGTTATCTATACTCATATATTTTATTCAAATAAATATGATTGAAAGATATTAAACACTTTCTTTTTAACTAAAATAACAGCGGAAAAAAAAAACTAGAAGTGTTTCTTGAATTAGATTGATAATTTGATCGTCTCTGACAAATCAATATTTTATGAATTGATTTATTCGAATGGTAGAAATAAAAAATGATATCATGATTCAGTTAATTAAAAAAATAAATAGGTAAAGAGTTTATTGTACAGATCATTTGGTATTATACAAACAACTATTGTTTTTTATTTTATCATACAGATCTATGATAGATTATTTTTTATTTTATATTCAATTTGTTATCGTTGCCGTTTTCGTTATATTTCTATCATAAACAAAGATCAACATTCTGCTTTTTTTTTTGTTCTAGACAAAATATGTAACGTTGAAAAACTATGAGCATTATGAAGATTAATAAATAATTGATGTATAATTAATTTTTATCGAATTATCAATTCATACTAGTTTATCGATGAAAACGACTAAAATTTTTTTTTCTTTTATTTAAAACCATTTAGAATGCACTTCTCAATGTTTTTGAAACATTTACTAAATTTAATACAAATCACAATCGATATGTCTCTATCAATTATTTCATGAATTGAATAAAAAACAAAAAACATAGTTCTATTCATGATTAAAATATTCACTTGTTATTCTATCATTAATTTATATAAAAAAGAAAATCTTTCGACAAAAAAAAAAAACAAGACAATGAAATATCATTGGTTCATGTAACTATTTTACACTTTACAGTGATAACAAATTTCATAATAGATTTTTCTATTGATTGATATTAAACATTTCCTAAAATATAAATGTCAAAATAATTGATCTCAACTAACACGCATTATTTCGCCTTTAATCTTAATATATTCTAAGTTCCAGATAGACCACTATTGCATGATTATTATGTCAGAATTTTCTAATTTCAAAATTGTATGCCATACTTTCATTCAAATAGAAGTTTTTTTTTTAAATATAAAACTTTTAAATGTAAAAAATCTATCATCAAAAATCTTCAATTCATTTACAAGAAAGAACAAAAAAAAACAAACAAAATATATTGTTCTATTCTACTAAATGCATTAATAGTTTTTTTTTTGTTTTACTTTTTATTTCTAAAACAGAAAAAAAAACAAACTAGTGTCATCGAAAAAAAAAAGCATCAGCAATTATAGAAAATCTGAGACATACGTGAATAGGAGAGAACGATAGGAGAAAGAAAAACAAAATAAAGAAGAAAGAAAGTAGTCATAATTGACTGACTAGTTAACACATACACACATATAAAGAAAAACAAAAATACAGAAAAATATGCACCGGTGAACATGTATAAAATTGAAATAGAAAAAAAGAAAAGAAAGAGAGAGAAGGGAGGGAGGGAGAGAGGGAGGGATAGGAATTTTTTATCACAAAAAATCCATCAATTCACCCACATGAAATTTAAGCGATGAGAATAACAAAAATTACAATACTTTTTTTAATTATAGAGGTGTTTGATGATGAAATTTACTAGATGTTGATGTTAATAATCGATGATCATCATCATCATTACCTGAACTAGCAGGACTCATTGGTTGTTCATCATCACTTGTTCGTGGATAGAGAAGTGTTGATGGTGATGATGATGTTATTGTTGTTATTTTTTCTGTACTACCACCACTTGTTGTAAAACGACGAAAAACACCACTACTTGATTTTGTTGTTGATGTTGTTTTACTTGGTGTTGATAGAAGTGGAACATTTTTACTCGATAGATTTTCTTGTATTGATGGTTCAAGTTCAATAATTGTTGATTTTTCTGGACTTGGTTGTTGTTGATGTTTACTACTAATTCGACTAGAAGGATGATGTGAACGAGTTTTTGGTTTAGGTGAACGACCTGGATTATAACGTGTATTTGATATAGGTTGAAATTTTGTATTTAATGGATATTTTGAATTAATAGGTGATGATGGTACTGGTGCCGGTGCTATTTTATTTGATATTGAATTACGAGGTGTTGTTGATGCACCTAAACTAATTATTGATGAACTGGATGAACGATTATAAACTGATGGTGGTGGTGGAATTGAAAGTACTGTTACATCATAATCACTTATTTGTCGTATGGGTGGTGTTAGAATAGATTGTTCGGTGCCTCTTAATTGTCGAGGAAGATCATATGTATCTGTTGTTGTTGGTAATGGATGATTATCATCAAAAAGTGACATGTTAGCATTTAAATCTGAATAGAATGAAGGTGCATCAAATAATGGAGAAATTGAAAGAGAACTTGGATTTGTTTCAGATGATATTGTTGTAGTTAATGGTAATAATGATACTGTTGGAGATGATAGTGGAATTTTTGGTTGTGCTGATGGTGGTGGTAGTGGTAGTGATGATGATGGAGGTCGTTTTGAATCTAATGACAAGTTATTTGTCATTGTTGATGTATTATTATTATTATTATTATTATTATTATTAGTATTATTGAGTGGTGAAAGAAAATTAAAAATCTGACTAATCTGTTCATCGATATGTGACATACGTTTAGTTAATGCTCGTACTTCAGTACTTAAATCATTTTTTATTTCAATTAATGATGATAATAATTGATGATCACCAAATGCTGCTGATATACTACGATATGGTGCAAAAGTTAAATTTATATCTGAATGAGATTCATCTAATTGTTTCTAAATTTAAATAAACAAATAAATAGAGAATTTATTTTTTAAATTCTTCAAATGACTTACTTGATCATCAGTTTCTTCATCTGATGTTTTTTTATGTTGAGCTGATCTTGGTATAAATAAACTAAGTGGAATAGATTGTTTACGTTCATTGTTATCTCTTATTTGTATTGCTTCATCATCATCAGATAATATCGCATCAAATGGATTTATTATTTTTTGTTGTGTTATTGATGGTTTAGTATTTGAAAGAAGAGGTTTTGATGATGTATTATTATTATTATTATTATCAGGTTCAGTTGAACCAGCCGTTAACCATTTCCATTTACTTGATTTTGGTGGTCGTTGTAATGGTGGACTTTGATTAACAGATGTTATTTGTGATGTTTGAGAATCTTTTGATTCAATACGTTCAGATATTGTTTCTAATTTATCTTTTTGTTTACTAGCAGATGATGTAGGTAATTGTAAACGTAGAATGGATGATGTTGAAGAAGCTGTATTTGTTGTTGGTGAAGAATCTGTTGGTTCTGCACTAGCTGGTTGTATAACTGTTTCTGGTATAGCAGGTAATGATGATAACGATTGTTGTTGTGTAGATGTAGTTGATGTTATCGATGATAAATTTGAATTTGGATTATTTTGTGAATTTGTACGATTTTCTTGTGAAATTTTACGAAATTTTGATATTAATTTTCGTACAGGATGATCAGAACTAATTTGATCTAAACCTTCATTTTTTCTTGTTTCAGCTAATTCACGTTCACGTTTAACATCAGCTATTTTACGAAATATAACCTGAATATATTAATAATAATAATGATAATAAATAAATAGATTTAGTTAAATATAAACATACACGATGTCTTAAATTATATGTAAGCACCATATTTCGAGCAAATGAAACACTAAATGGATGATAAAAATCTAATACTTCAAGTAAACGTTCTCGTCGTATTTGATGTAAATTACAATAAGTTAATGCACGAACATTAGCTGCTGATTGACCAACATTATCTCGATTTTTACTCCAAAAATCATCACCAAATACATCATTTGTACCTAGAAAATAAAATGTTTATTTCAATAATAAAAACAAAAGAAAAAACAAACAAACAAACAAACAAACATACTAAGTATAGCTAAAACTTCATCATCTTGTATAACTTCTAATGAACCAGATACAATAAAACATAACATATCAAGACTTTCACCACAATGATATAACATATCACCAGGTGCAGAATGATTTATATGAAAATGAACAGCTAATGCACGTAAACAACCATCACTAGCTAAACGAAATGCTGGATGTTCATTAAATACACTTCGATTCATATGTACACATATATCGGCACGCATATCTTTTGGACAATAATTTAAGACTTTTGTTGCATCAATACCTTTTGTCATAGCCCATGTTGATACAACATAATCCATAATACGTTCATTTAATTGATTTGGCATACCATGTAAACGCATAAATTCTCGAATACTAAAGACGAAAAAAAAAAAAGAAAAAGAAACATATTTATTCATATAATTAATTATTTTATAGGTTTTTTCTTTTTCGATTAATTACATACCTACTTAACATTTCATGATATCGAGCAGTAGCTGAATACATTTGTGTAAATATTGTTGTGACATTACCAAATATAGTTGCATATAATAATGAACCAATAAGCATCATAACACATGTAAATATTTTTTCATTATCACTATTTGCAGCAACATTACCAAAACCAATACTAGTCAATGAACTCATTGTATAGTAAAGTGCTGTTACATAAGCTGCTTTACGACATGTACCATTTGATTCATATGCTGTTAAATTACCATAAGAATCAATACATGCATAATGTAATTCTCTATCCATTTTTACTAACCAACTGTATTCCATCTGTTTAGAGATAAATATAAAGAAAAAAAAAATTTATTTCAATAAATGATCACAAATAAAGAAATCAGAGATAGACGAAAATGTCTTGTGCTTCGTACAATTCTTTCTTTTCTTACTCGGTGAATATGTTTCGAAAGTACAAAATCATTTCTTCGATGTTTTTTCAGCACCGATAGAATCATAAGATAGAGTAACATGCACTCTCCATAGAGATTTGCGCCATGTTGGATGGACGCACACTAGAGTATTAGACAAGTCTACCTATCTTTGAAAACAAACTATTCTTGTATCTAATACTGTCTGGAAGATAGTATTAAATACTTGAAAATGTATGTCACACCTTTGTGTTTACTCACTGAAGAAAATTTAGAATATTAAATATATAAAACATTGTACTTTACATATTTAATCTCTACAAATGTCTTATTGCGGTGATCATGTCTCATTTTTTTTTAAAATTTATCTTTATATTTAAAATTTTACGAAAGAACTATGTCTGATATTTCTCATCGAATTCAATAATCCGTCTACAATTGAATATGTATAGTATTGTCATAAAAATTCTTTAGAATAATTCAACTGGTATAAATTCTCTCTTAAAAGCTAAAGTTGCTTTTGGTGAAGTTATTGCGTGAATTATAGAAAGTTTGAAGAATTCTATCGCTTTTATTTGAGTTTTTATGAATATAAAACCATACTATTCTATTTATTTATATGTCTTTTCTTAACATACCAGAACTTAATATATAAAATTGAATTTTGACAAATAAATGAAGAATTTTCGAATGTTTCTATATTTAATATTATCATTTATAGTTTCATCTATCATGTAATAACATATAGCATTTACTTATTTCTTTTTCTTTTTGTTTCTAGTTTTATAAAAATTTCTATCTAATCGATCGATAAGAATAAGAATAAGAATAAGAATAAAATTAGCTTTCACGCGATTCTAAGCGGTTTATAATGTTGATATTCAAACGCAATAGAAAAGAAATTATATAAAACTAATCGATACATACTCGTTTACCAGGACCACCTCTTCCTTCTCGAAATCCGATTGTATACCATACACAAGCAAACCTATATAGTTAAATACAATAGTTGTTTAAAAAAATATTCTTTTCTTTTTTCTTTGTTTCTTACCAATGAGCAACGAGTACAAAAACACAAATCAATAATAAAAGTACAGCTGCACCATATTCTAAATAATTATCTAATTTTCTAAAGACACGACCAAGACGTAATAAACGTAAAACTTTTAATGCTGAAAATATACTTCCATATCGCTGAAATATATCAATCTTTTGAAGAAAAAGAAAAAAAGAAAAAGAATTTAGTTTATATTTTAAATATTAAAATTTACTTCTTCAGCTTCTTGAAATGCATTAAATACATCATATGGTAAACATGCTAATAAATCAATAATAAACCAACTTTTTAAATAAGTTTTTCGAATACGTTTTGGATCAGATATAACTTCTCCAGATTCTTGAAAAACAAAATAATACAATTAAAAATTTTTAAAAAAATTTCTGTTTTAATCTTTCATTTCTTACTTGTGTGTACATACGTTGTGTGAAAATTTAATATAATATCAATAAAGAAAATAACATCGACAATACTATCAACAACAAGTAATGGCACATCATCTAATGATTTACTTCGAAATGCAGCATGATATGGCACTAACAATGATGTATAAAACGTTAACAAAAGGATCACCCAATCCCATACTGTTTTAAATGTACAATAGTGAAGAATGATATGTGGTGGCGTACTCGGTGCTTCTTGTCGATAACTCTATCAAATCAATAATATACATATATCGATTATATAAAACAAAAAAAAATTGTTATTTACCGGTAATACTTCTGCATTTAAATTAAGTAACTAAAATAGAAAGCAGACAATTAAACAATTTCTTTTCTTTCTGATTTCATGTACATACATTAGGTAATTGAGATGGTTTCGTTGAATCAATATGTGTTGATTTTACAGTTGGCGCAGCAAAATTCATTAAAATCGATCGATTTCTTGTAACAGATTTTGCTATACGTGCAAATTTACTAAGACCACCTATTAATAATTAACAATGTTTTATTGTTTTTTTTTAAGCAAAATCATAAAGAAAGAACCTTTCGTATCTTCAGTTTCAATTGGTTGTTTAAGTGCAGTAATATCTGTAAATGTACACAGATAAAGCACCACTGTATCGCGTTCATTTGTAATAGGAGCTATTTGCATAAATACCCATATTGGAGTTTCTATACGAATAAATAATTTAAAAACAGAAGAAAAAAACAATTCTAAGAATAAATAACCATACTATTTTTTTTATATAAAAGAACTTCAACTTGTTCAATATGACAACTTTCTAATGCATCACGTATTTTTGTTTGTGTATCGACACTAGTTAGTTCACCGTGCATAAAATTACATGTTGAACTTTTATTCATTAGATCTGTTCTTAAATAACCCGATATTTTTGTAAATCCATCATTTGAATAAACAATTGGATAATCAACTATTTGAGCATTGGATAATATGAACGCGGTGTCTAATTATTTAAATATAATAAGAAAAGTATAAGTTCTTTTTTTTTTGTTCGAAATAACTAACATCCGATTTGTTACTAATCTAACTTGTTATCAATGACGTATTAAATAATACACGCAATCTCCGGCATTTGGAAATACTAAGATTTTTCAAATGATAAAAATGAAGACATTAGTTACTCGATCGGAAGCACAAGGTAAGTCAGGTGTTTTATTTCTATTCATTTTTTTAATTGATTGTTTTCCTTTAACTTTCGACAGGTGTTGATAGAAATGATGTAGTACATACATACACGAATATTTTCAATATGAATGCTGCAGGCGAATTAATGAAAATGTGTTTGTATTTCCCATAGGAACACTCATTTGCTATTCTAAAAGAACATTTGTCGCCAATTCAGTCGTCTGCAGGTATCGGCTATCCCTCCATCTTATGTGTATGGGGAAATTATTGGTTTCTGTATGTGTATGTATGCATGTGAAAGTGCGACAGGAAATATTATTGAACTATTGCACTCATTTCTCTTCAATAGATTTAATAAGATAAAAGTTGAAGAAGCAAAAAACAACAATCAGAATATTGTATTCACATGAACAACTATGACTTCAATCGAAGAAAATAGTCGAAATTCTGTGTAGTTTACTTGATTTGAATTTAGGTTACGAAAATAAAAGAAGAAACAAAGAAAGAAAAAATTTGCATTTATGAAATCAATAAGAAAAATAAAAATATTCTTGTGATGGTCTTTTTTTATTTTTTTTTTCTGAGTTATTCAAAGGAACAAAATATGGACTTGATCAATTATAAATAAAATCATATACTTACGGGCACCACTGCATTTACGGACAATCGATTCAAGGAAAGTATTTTGAGGTGCAACCAAGCCACGTCGTGAGCCAGGCATTAATGCTCTAGAGCTCGTCTAAATATACAAGTAATAGCTAACAAAAAAAAAAGAAATAATCAAACATGAAGATAAAAGTCGAATGTCTGCTGTTTTCTTTTCCCTGTTTTTCTTTCATTCTCTTGCTCTCTCTCTCTCCTCTCACTCTCTCTTTTTGTCGTTATCGATTCTTAGGCGACAATGGATCGAGAATCGTCCAACTGCATTCTACTCCGTTTTTCGAGGATTAGGTTCGTTAGCAGTTCAGCAGCGTGCCGTGATCACGAGGCTATAACAGCATAGCTCTCTCTCTCTCTCTCTTCCCATTAAATTAGATGAAGAAGAAAAAAGTATAGTAACAAAAAAAGCCAAGAGAGAGCAGCTAAGAAACCATGGAATAGAAGAAAAGAGAAAAAAATGCAGAAAAAAGGTAAGAAAAACAAAAAAAGATTTATTTTACAATAGGAAAATGCATATTTATACTCTATACGACCGGAACAAATTCGAGAGTTTTTAAAAAAAAAAAAAAGAAAGAGGAAAAATCGGAAAGTGAAAGATCCTGTATATATATATATACAAACCTACTTTATTCTGTAATGGTATGAGATGCATCGGTGTCCAGTCATTGCTGTGGATGGTAGTAGCGACGATATTGATACACCTTCATTAATATTGTTCATATAAACAGATATAAATCTAGAAATGGATTGTTAAATTCAATTGAGATGCTATATCCGTAAAATATGAAACTAATGATAGGTGCAACGATTTGGAAACATGACTAATTAAGCACTCGGTTATTTTTTTCATAGAAGAAATGTTTAAAGCATAAGATTTCAAAAGATTAAACAGTTTAATCTTTAGATTTCTCGTTATATTTTAAGTATCACTTTTGTTTCAACAAAAGTCTAAAACTTCTTAAACGATAATGTAAAAAAATGAAGATTATACTTTGAAATTTGTATATCCTCTTGAATGAATAATCCCTTAGAATCTATAACCTTGAAAACAATTAGATCCTATTGTTCAACAAGTATAAACAGCAGGATATCAATGTTTGTTTTTGTTTCCTTTTTTTTCTGGATATTTAAATTTTTCATCTCACCAAAAAAGTATGCATCAAATTTTTAATATTCGTTTATCTTTTTGAATTTTCTGTTGCTCTTTTTTTATATTAATTTATCAGCCTTTGTAAGTTTTCCATTGTGATAATAATAATGATAACAATCAAAATATTATTTTAGTATGATTTAGAATTAAAATGAATGTCTTATTTTTCTTTTTATTTTAGTTTTAGACTGAATATTAGTTTTATTGAAAGTGATAACATTACCTGTTTTAATAAGACACGATTACTGATGATAATAGTGATAACCATTAGCCAACAAGAAATAAAAAACAAAAATGAAATGACTTCAAGCTAATTATCGTCGTCGACGTCGTCGTTGTCGTTCTTTAGGTATATGTTACTGCTACGACGCAACTACATTTGTAAGCTTCATCATATCGTTGAATATACGAACAAAACTATTCTTTCTATTTCCTCTATCATTACTTTTTCTTTTTTTTTTAATTTCTTAATTAAAATCTATTATTCAACTGATGAAACCTAGCAAAGAAGATGAAGTTACCGACAACAGCATTGGAGTAATAGAGGAAAAAAAAGTAAATGAGCGTACTGAAAAGACAACGAATGAGTTGATGAGTAATATAAAGACATTCGTCTCTCCGTGACGTTTACTAGGCGATGTTAAAACGATGATTCTTCCTTTGTTGCTCTTCTTTTCTTAACTTCTATTTCTTCTTACCTTGATGCCAATGCATATATATATATACTTTCTCGCTTCTTTTGTCTCTAATCTGTGCGCATTCTACGATGTGTCCGTGAGAAAGCAAAGCAAAAGAGCGAGAAACGATATTTAGCTCATTTTGAGACATTTTTCTTTGCTTCTTTTTTGTTTGCTTGTCCTCTTGCCATTTTCTCTTATAGACACCTTTTTTTCTTCTACTTCGATTAGATTACACATGCATTCATAAACATACCTCACTACTTGGCTGACTGACAAGAAAATCTGGACGATGAACATATTCTACCTAATATTTTTTTCCATACAAAGATAGATCAAAGATCCTTATCAAATATTTAAGTTTGTCTAACACAAACAGGAAGCATCACTCCTTCTTTTTTGTGTATTATTTATGCAAGGAAAAAAATAGAAGGAAAAAAAAACAAGAGAATTTGAACGTAGTATAACATATGTGTCATCGAGTAAAGGGATTTTATGCGTGTAGGTGAGTGTATAAACTGTCAAAGATTTAGTATATATACGCAATTTCTTTTCTGATCACCGGTAAAAAAAAAGGAAAAAAAAACGGAAAAATGAGAAGCAAGGACAACAACGACAACGATCGAATTTCATTTGAACGTGCTTTTCCATAGTCATTTAGTAACAAAACGACAATTATAGAAGTACGACGGATAAAAAAAAAAACTTTATAGAAAAAGCTACCTCAATCGACACGTCAGACGTCGTCGTACTAAAGGATCAATTGATTAAAATGCATCAACAAACAGCCATCTTGTTCTCATCAAAAATTGCTCAACTTCAATGTTAAGTTTTTTCAAGAACAAAAAAAAACCAGAAAGTAAAAACTTTCTACCAACAGGAATATCAAACGATACAATAAAGAACAGAATACAAAAAAATGTTAACATAAAGAGGTGCTCAAGAAAAATGACATGCGACACGTCAAACGATAAGATGAAAAATATTTCTTTGCATGAAAAAAAAATAACAAAAATTTTCACTTGTCTCGTTATACATAATCATTATTATATTATTGAGCCATAACGATAAACGTCAAGCGTACATTTTTTATCGAATCCTTGACAGGAAATCCTACTAATGCACACATACACACTTTCCTTATTAGCTACTTTTAATGCTCCGCTAAGCATCTATTCTTTAGTGTTAGTGAACGCTATTAATCCCGACGAAAGATTCAGAAGGATAAGAAGAAAACAAAACCAAAATCAAAGTATCATAGGCACTTCTATTTAGATATACAAAATAATTCATTGGCATCGTTCACATGTTATGACGATCAATACTTTTTGTGATATTCTTTTCTAATCATTAGGCATAATATCTTTTCTGTATAATCAATCGAATAACACGAAAAATAATTATATATAAGAAATAATAAAAAGTCTCTTGTGACATAATCATTGAATATAGAGATTTATGATTTAGATAAACGAAAATTAGATTTGTTTTTTTTTTTTATTTTTTTGATAATTTTGCATAATATATAATGATGACAAAGATCAAACAATCTTCAATTTACTATTGATAGAAATGATCTTATGTCATAATTAATAATGACTATCAAATTGAATTTGAAATTCAAAATTCTTCTTCTTCAAAAAAATAAACCAGAGCAAAACAAAACAATTCATATATGATTATCTTGATTCTGATTTGAAAATAATAGTTTATGTTTTTATTATTAATAAAATAAATATTTATTGTTCATATATATCGAAAACATATTTCAAAATATTCTTTCATAGTAAAATTATTAATTCAATGTAGAATTTACTTCTTTTATAGATTAAGAAATAGCAATAATGCAATTTTCTTAATAAATTTCCGTTATTTATTATTTTTTTAATAATTTATGAAGGTTATAATCATTACTGTAAATAATGGTGACATTTTTCAGCTGTATTTTAATTTCTTTCTTTTTTTTTAATAAATATATAAAATATGAACTCATTTTATTAATTAACTTTTCCATATAGATCAACATTGCACAACAAACTTATTTCTATTTTTTTAAAGAGGTTTTTGTTTAAAAAAACAGCATTGACTTTTAGCATTTCTAGCTGAACTTTTTTCAAACTCATATATATCATGAAAATATAGAAGTCTCTGTTTTTTCGTTTTTATCTTGAAACTAAATATTTCTTCACCAAGATGTTGTAATAGAATAGAAATTCTTTGTTTCTTAGATATCTTCCTCTAGTAATGCTATCGGCACAATCGTCTTATCTAGATATATAGTAGCGGATTGTAATTTTTATTTGACATTTTCTATCAAAACATCTTAATGATTATTATTTATCATAGGTAATCTTCATTAAAAATTAGTCTAGACAAAGAATTATTTACATATTTATCCATTCTTTTATTTTCATTACAACTATTGTGACCTTGTCTAAAGATTATAAATATATTTCAATAATTTTCAAAAACAAAAATCAAATATATTTTCTAGAATTAACTACTATTATTGAGTAAAATAGTCAAAATATGATTATAAATGATTGTTGAATTATCAAAAAAACAATTAAATAATTGTTTGTTTACTTAATGAGTTAAACATTATTAGCCTACGGAATATAAGACATTTGCTTCAGTGAACAATGACTTAGTAATACAATCTCGAATAATATCTGATGAAATAGAATTATCTATGTAGCATTATATTTAAATTATTTTATTGTCAGTTATATTACGAGACAATGTTTGAACTATAATATTTTGGATAAATCCCATAACGGATTATATAATATCGATAAAGTACATGATCAATAGTTTGATTATAATGAATAACTTACGAATTATTTATGTTTTTTTTTCATATCTATTAATCATTCATCAGTATATTTCAACAATAATAAATTCCTGTCTATTGTCAAATCCCAAATGAAATTGCGAATAAATATTTACATATCATCAATAAAAACAAAAAATATTATAATCAATTCATATATATGTATATATGCATAAGATGTACCTTATATTTACTTATTTTAAAATGTAGGTTCATTTTCATTATATAATAGTATTTCAACAACTGTAAAATCTACCAGATAGACATTAATTGATACATCTACTTAATGTTTAATATAATTATTTGTGAATATTAATGCCCAACTGATCTCTAAATTCTTATAATGATGAGCAAATTAGTCTGAGAACATAAATTACAAAGTACTTAAACAAATAATGAAA